TACTTGGAACCAATTCTTCTTATCCTCTCCGATAATCCTCTGATGTAGGGAAGTGCAAGCACTGGTTGTGACGGCTTCTCTTCCTTGCGAGGCTCCTGCTGTCTTTTGGCCAAAGTCTTTTCTACCATCGCTTTGGAGTATCCATTCCGCTGAAGATCACTTTTGATGATGTCTAGTTCCTTCTCGAGACCTTCCTTTGTATTACAAAGCCCAAAAGCACGGTCTAATAGAGTCTTGATGATTCCTCTTTTAGTCGATTGATGGTGGTTGGATTCGTGGTTCAGATACTGTCCCGTATGAGTGGGTTTTCGGTATACAGATGTTTCCCACTTCAGAATCTGGTACAACTTCCTTTCGATTGATGCAGTAGGGTCCCGTACGATCTTTGTGTATTGTCCCTTCTGAAGAACCTCTTCGATCTTCTATTCGTAGAGAACGGTATCCATCACCACAGTAGCGTTTCCTTTATCTGCAGGTAGGATCTTGATGGTGTGGTCTCTACGTAGGCCGTTCAGAGCTCTACGTTCTTCATTGCTCGATCCAGCTGTTCTCTAATTTTCCATCTGAACTCTTCTGCCTCGGTCTGGTCAATAAGGAATTCACTGCAGTAATTATCTCCAAAGTGGGCACAGATGTTGGCGTAATGGCGAAATTTAGGCCTTTTCTCAACAAGGATTCCTCTATTCCCGTGAGCGGGCGGGAACTCATGTTGATGTCGTTGGCGGCTTCATAGTTGTCCTGTTTTCGGTCTGTATAAGAAAACAACTACTTTCCTGGCTAATACCACGAAGGGCGTTAGATTATATCCGACAGGTGATGATAGACACTACCTTGCACTGACGAGTGGCCAAACAGCCCGAAACCGGTCTGCAAGTGTGTTCCAATAACTGAAAATCTATTGCGGCAGTTGTATCGCCAACAGCATATGCAGGAATAACTTCAGTGAAGAATCCTGCACTGACACCTGTCGGATATAATACAACGCCCTTCGTGGTGTTAGCCAGGGAAATAGTTGTTTTCTGATAGGTGTCAGTCCATTAACCTACAGTGTAGGGCCTGAACAAGTAGTTTCTTCAGATGATTTTTAGCTTTCGCACAGGGATCTGCGGCCGTGAACATTTACATTTTCTGAGGTAACACTGTTCGTCAAGTGGACTGGCAAAAAGGATTGTCTGATAAAGTGATTAAAATGGGGTCAATGATAATATAAACAGAAAATTCTCAGTTATCGAAACAGGATACAGAAAGTTCTTGTTCAGAATGATTTTATCTATTTCCAAGAAATATTAGTCAACTGAAATTTGCATCATATTTTCAAGAACAGTATCGTACTCAGTATTTCACATATCGTATACGAATTAAACCGTTATTTTTCAGCCGCTCCCACTTTCACAATCCAGCCAGAGAATCTCAACATACAAATAGGCGGTGTAATCAGACTGGAATGCGTGGCATCCGGCACCCCAACCCCAGAGATAATTTGGTATAAAAACGACGAAGAGATTCAGCGAAATGAGAGGGTGTTCATAAGCGAAGATAATACTTTCCTCCAAATCAAAAACGCACAAGAAACGGACAGTTCGCTATACGTCTGCGAGGCCAGGAACGACGTAGGTATAAGAGAAGTTAGTGCCAGAATCAACGTGGAGAATGTATCCAGAAAACCAGCGAAGTTGGTTTACAAACCGTATAATGTCGAAGCTCTCGTAGGAAGTACCATAGAATTGCCCTGCAGAGCTACTGGAGACCCTAGGCCTGGCATCACTTGGCAAAAGGACGGGTCCAGCATGCAGAGGACCGGTAGGTTCAAAGTAACCCACAACGGAAATTTGTATATTTATAAAGTGGGACCCGAAGATCAAGGCAGATACGAATGTACCGCTCTAAATGACTATGGAAGAGATTCTGCAGCAGGATATCTCACGGTGAAAAATATTCAGAGTCCTACAGGTAATAGAATTTTCATTTATAACAGGCCAAACGATCTGTCACTCATTTTTCATCCCAATTGTATTCAATTTAGTTTAATGCCCCAAGAAACAATAAATGCTTATACTCGAAATTAGCGACTATAACTAACTACAAAATATTTTGAAACAACAATGAAATGTGGTATATTTCCTCTTGTTCCATGATCAGTCATCATTATTTTGGCTACAGGTCAGGATGAGTTTGTCCACTGAGTAGTACTGCCATGGGTCAGCAATGATTTTGGTACCTAAACAGTTGGTTCTGGGCCTATCTATAGAGTTGATGATTGGTGTCTGCGACACTTATCACTATCTTTCAATATATTTCGATCCATCAGTATCTTCAGTTGTTCACAGTATTTATTTATTCATTTTTTTATTCAACGGCAAAGCCAATTCACAAAAAAAAATTTAACATAATGTGGGGAACTACAAAGTATTTTGAATGCTCATGTCTGATGTCTACATTACAATTTACAATTTTACAAAACGAGAGCTCATTTTGAGATTCGGTGCTGATCGATCGATCTGTCCGCAGTGTTGTTTTATTTATAAGTGTGGAATTTATTTATATTCAGTGAATTTCTCCATACATTTCAAAAAAAGTTGTTTTTTTTTCGGAAAGTTTCAGAAAGTAAGTAAGAATTATGATTAAATCGAACGGCTGATAACGATGAATGAAGAAATATTCAGCGAATGCAAGAACCCCAAACCACAAGTAACCCTACCACTCAAGCAAGTCAAAACCCTACCTGTCGATCATATTTTTCAGCATTGAGTCCATCTTTACCCATCAAGTTCCCTAGAAAAGATCAAGCAATTGTTTTCAGCGCTATCGATAATGGAAATTCACGAGATTATATTCTACAACTCGGTCCATTAGTTCAACCTAGAAACATACTTTTCTCGTCCAGAATTTCTAATAACAGAATCTGTATATACCTGTACAGCAAGCATTTTGTAGACAAATTTCTCAACGACCATGGCTCTATTAAAATAAATGGTGAAATTATTAAAGCTTGGAGACTAATATCTCCAGCAGAAAGACTAGTAATATCCAATATTAGCCCTACCATACCACACTGTTATTGGATTTACAATTATATCACAAGTAACCTTTCTGAGAATTGGGGCTTTCTGAGAATTGGAGCTACAAATCCTGAATATAGCCATATACTCAGTTTTAGAAGGCAGGTTTATATAACACCACCGGAAAATCTGAATATTCCAGAATCAATTGAGATATTTCACGATGTGTCACATATCGTGTGTTTCTATCCAGAGATAACCAAACCTGTTTCAAATGTAAACAAATAGGACATATCGCCGCCAAATGCACAACCCAGACTACCTCCCCTTCCCAAAACAACTTTTCATTGGACACTTGAGAAGCTTTAGAGGAAATACCAAATCAAGCATCTACCAGTCAACAAACGAACGAAAATGTAGACAATTCTACAGAGCAGAATATTAGGAAAACCGGAAAGAGGAACCTTCCAGAAATCTTGAATCCAACGTCAGAAGATCAAGAATTCCTAACACCCAAGAATACAGGCAATACTAAAAAAATCAAAACATGAGACCAATATTAATCAAGCACTTATTCAACCTATCAAGGATTACATTGACAAGCAACAAAGAGAGTTTGTAATCAATTCAGAACAACTGAAGGACCTGTTCGAGAACACACATGGATCGAAAGATGTTTTGAGTATAGCAAAGGACTCTAGAGATGACATCCAAGGATTGATAGACATGTTACTTGAGATCCATCCAAGTATTGAAGAACGATACCTGAAAGGGAGGTGCACGAAATTGAGGAAAAAATTACAGAGGCGAAAAGTACGAACCACAAAGTGACTCTTCAGATCAACTATTTTAAAACGTTTTCTCCCAATAATATTCAATACCATACTGCAATGGAACTTGAATGGATATCATGTCCATTTGAGTATGCTTCAAATATTGCTAGCAGAACATTTCCCAGATATTATTTGCC